CTGATAAGTTCCATCTCTCCAAAGTTCACGAAGAGCAGGCAGGCCAGATGGAGGCCATTTCTGGTTGGTGGCTCAGGAGGTCATGCATTTGCATCTCAGCCAAGAGTCCTAATACACATCGATTTTTATTTTATTTTAGTTCCTGTTATGTGTCAAGTACTGTAAGAAGCACTGGGGATGACTGAGCTAAAAGATTTCAGTTTTATGATGTAAAAGTATTGCATTATATTTTTCTCAAATAGGGGCACATGCTTGAATGGTTGGAAATAATTAGATAGGTTACATTAATAACTGGTTTAATATACATTTTTAATAATGATGCTTATACATTTTAGGATATGGTGAGAAAATCTTAGTCATTGATGAGTCTAGTCCAGAAGATAGATATATATATCTACACTAATAAAAGAGAAACATGGTAATTGGCGTACGACCGCTATCCTTCCCATTGGCTAATCAGCGAGATATGCAAATTAACTGGCAGCCAAGATGGCGGCCGGCAGCCAGGCAGCTGATGCGAACAGGGAGGCTTGCTTGCTTCAGTGACGGAGGACTCCAATGTTCCCCGCGTTCCCCGCCTGACTTGCCGGCCTCTCAGCTGCAACTCTAAGTAACTTCAGCCAGCCGGACCGCAACATTGTATCAAATACAGATGGTAAACAAAGGCCAGAAACCTGTTTTCAGCAGCCGAGGCCTCAGAGCTAAAGCTGGCCCAGAATAAAAAAAAAAAGAAAAAAGAAAATGCGCAGTTGGGAGCTTTAGTCCCAGCCTGAAAACAGCCCTCAGCCCCTCACCCAGACTGGCCAGGCACCCTAGTGGGGACCCCCACCCTGAAGGGTGTGTGACCAGCTGCAAACAGCCATCATCCCTGCACCCAGGCTGGCCAGGCACCCCAGTGGGGACCCCCACCCTGATCCAGGACACCCTTCAGGGCAAACCAGCCAACCCCACCTATGCACCAGGCCTCTACCCTATATAGTAAAAGGGTAATATGCCTCCCAGCACTGGGATCAGCGTGACAGGGGGCAGCGCCCAAACCCCCTGATCGCCCTGCAGCTCTGTGTGTGACAGGGGCAGGGCCCCAACCCCCCAGTCCCCCATGGGCCCTGCTCTGTGTGTGATGGGATAGAGTCATAACCTCTCCATCTGACCTGCCCTGTGTGACAGGAGCAGTGCCCCAACCCCCTGATCCGCCCTGCCCTGAGTGTGACGGGGCATGCCCCAACTCCCCTATCGGCCCTGCTCTGTGCATGACGGGGTGGCGCCGCAACCTCCCCATTGACCCTGCCTTGAGTGTGACAGGGGGCGGGGCCCCCACCCCCCAATCGGCCCTACCCCGAGCGTGACTGAGGGTGGCATCGCAACCTCCCAATCTGCCCTGCTCTGTGCATGACAGGGGAAGGCGCCCCAACTCCCCAATCGGCCCTGCTCTGAACCTGACCAGGGGCTGCACCTAGGGATTGGGCCTGCCCTCTGCCACCCGGGAACAGGCCCAAGCCAGCAGGTTGTTATCTCCCGAGGGGTCCCAGACTGTGAGAGGGCACAGGCCAGGCTGAGGGACCCCCCTTCTCCTGAGTGGACAAATTTTTGTGCACCGGGCCTCCTGTCTGTGTGTGTGTGTGTGTGTGTGTATATATGGTGTGTGTGTGACAAAGACAAAAATTGAGATGAATTGTAACAATAACCAAGTTTTATAGAGGTTGTAATGATGGCCTTCTGGCATCAGCCACATTCTCCTGCTCACCTCACACATCTCCCAGGATTAGTGTGATGTGTATGTATTAATATGAAATCTCATACATTTTTATGACGAACTATTGAGATAGAAATAAAATAAATAAAATCTTCCTAAAAAGATTCTCCTTTCTCTCCCAACAGCAAAGATGTCACCTACCACCACACTGCACAACCACAAACACGTCACACTAATCCTGGGAGACGTGTGGGGTGAGCAGGAGAATGTCTGGGGCCAGACGGCCATCATTATAACCCCTTTGTACTTAACTCTAAGGCACCATTTCTGTCACCTAACTCAGGAACTCCTCAAGGTCAAGGACTGTGTGTTGTAACCTTAAAATCCGATAAAGGCCTGGGCCCCCACAAGTTCTCAAAAGCACTTTTTGCAAATTTATTCCCCCTCTCCCCAAAAAACCACCTTAATTTGATCTGATATTGCATTAATTATAGAATAGCATCTGTATTCATTTCCTATTGCTGGTTTATCGAATTAACACAAAGATAGTGGCTTACAACAACACAAACTTAAGATCTTGTACGTCCAAATGTCAGAAGTCCCCCAAACTGAGGTGTTGGCATTCCTTCCTGAGGCTCTCGGGGAAAAGCTGTCTTCTCGCCTCTTCCAGCTTCTAGAAGCCCCACGTTCCTTGGTGTGGCCTCCTTCCTCCCTCTTCAAAACAGCAACTCTCTGACGCTTTCTGATTACATTTCTTTCTCCAACCATTCTGTCTGGAAAGATTGTCTTCTTTAAAAAAAAATTGATTTCAGAGAGAGGAAGGGTGAGGGAGAGAGGGATAGAAACATCACTGATGAGAGAGAATCATTGATTGGCTGCCTCCTGCACCCCCCTGCTGGGGATTCAGCCCACAACCCAGGCATGTGCCCTGACGGGGAGTGAACCGTGACCTCCTGGGCCACACCGGCCAGGCAGATTGTCTTCTTTTAAGGATTCATGCATTTAGATGGGGCCTACCTGGATGGCCGAGGACATTACATAGACGGAATCGTGGTCACGGATTATGTGACTGTGTTTAGGATCAGCATTTGGACACCTTTGGGAGGCTGTTCCACAGCATCCAAATAAGGAAAGCGGTGGTATGAAGGCCATAGACCAGCCATGGGCAAACTACGGCCCTGCGGAGCCGAAAGAGCGGAGGGTTCTCTTGCTCTCCCCTCCGCTCCTTCACCAGCAGCAGTGTTACCATGGCAACGTCGGAAACACAGCCGCAGCTCCTCTTTCTGGGTCCAGTTTAAGAACCCACTGTGGCCCTCGAGTCAGAAAGTTTGCCCGCCCCGCGACTGTACTCAGGATATTTCACTCTGTTCACTTCGATCTTGAAAGTTCTGGCAAAGAAGCAAGGAAATTTGGAGTTGTGTCGATCTAAGGGATGCGTAAAGGAACAGGATGTTTACTTCAGAAGAAAAAAGACCTGTATTTAGGGGAGGCATGGGAGTTGCACTTGTAGGAGGCATGAGGTGATTACTTCCTCAAAATATCAGGAAGTCCTGTCATGTGCAAGCAGAGGACAGAACAGGGGCAATTAACTTTAGGGAAACAGCTTTTGGCAGAATTAAGGCAGAGCTGTGTGGAAATCACTGATGTCCTAAATCCGACATGCTGGAAATGGCATGGCTTGATGACGTGGGGAGTCTTTTAAAGGAGATTTGGGCGTTAGATGAGGGATCAGCTGAGATGAACTCTCAAATTCCATTTAACCTTCACAGTCACTGGTTCTGTGACTTAGAATTCCATTCATGATCTCTAAGCACCTCAGTTGCATATAGCTGGAGCTGGCCGAGGCCCACATCCTTCCTGAGGAGTCATCTTTGTGTCCTCTTACCAAACATATACCCCAAGATGCCAAACAGAAGTGGTGAAGGAAGCCAGTATAATTCAGATGCCTCTTAGAAGATGCAGTGTCTCGTTACTATTGAGAATATAAAACCACTAGCCATAGGGACAGTACAAGTTTAAAAATGTTATACAAATACCTAAAAATATTATCTGGCATATTCAGACATGAAAAGAAAACAAACAAACCATAGAGACAAGGCATGAAGAAAGTGTAGTTCATTGCTGTTAGGTGGCTTGTATGAGTATCAAGCATGACTCATATTTTGAGGAAATTTAATACTTATATTGAAGAAGGCTAAAGAAAGAGAGGAACAGATCCTTTTATCCTAATCCAGAAAACATATATTTTTTATAATATATTTTATTGATTTTTTTTAGAGAGGAAGGGATAGGGATAGAGAGCCAGAAACATCGATGAGAGAGAAACATCGATCAGCCGCCTCCTGCACACTCCCCAATGGGGATGTGCCCGCAACCAAGGTACATGCCCCTGACGGGAATCGAACCTGGGACCCTTAAATCCGCAGGCCAACGCTCCATCTGCTGAGCCAAACCAGTTAGGGCAAGAAAACATATTTTTGAGAATTCTTTTTCATCAGTCCACTTTGGGGATGATTATTTGAAATGACTTGTATGAGATCTGGGAGCTGCTGTGGAAAATGCTGTTTTTATGTCAATACTGTGTGCTGCATAGGAGTACATCTTATTTTATTTTCCATCAGCATTTATCCCCCTCTTCCACCAATACCCACCCCACTCCTTTCTCCAATCACCTCACTGTTGTCTGTGTCCATGAGTTCTTTCTCTTTTTTGTTCAATCCCTCATCCTTAACACCCCTTCCCCCAGAGCTGTTTGTCCACTTTCTATCTACGAGTATATTTTAATACTTTAAACAGTTTATGTTACCATATTCTTGGATCTTTTAAGTACACATCTAAATGTCTAGGTTATAAACCTGAACTGTATTCAGTCTTATGTTAGACCATTTGACCCACAAATTATTTTCTATCCCCCAAATATCCAAAATGAATGAAGAAATTAATTACAACTTCAGTTGTATTCAAGAGAAGTCTTTGTGTTTCTTTATAGCTGTTATAGCTCTTCAAAGAGAGTCTTAAGTGTCTTTGGGGTTGTAATGGCCACTCAAGACTAAGAGGAGCTTGTCAGACACTTAGGACTGGGCCAATACTGTCAAGGATTGTACCATTCCATATTCCTTCCACTTCTATGGATTACCCAACACCAATAATGATCATTCCAGCTCATGATACCCCTCTCTACAGTCAGGGGAAGGTCAGCTATTTTTTGATTCCCATGGGGGAGAGAAAGCTCCTCAATCAGTTTCCTAAAATAGCTGGCCATTCTCAGCTGCTGGGCTGGAGTCCCTCCAGGGGTGAGCAAAGGGAATACAATCTACCGGCTGGTTGTGAGTGAGAAGCCACCAAAACATGAGCGAGGAGAGGCTTCTCAAGACGATTCTGCCTTCTCAGAAATCTTTATTCTTTTTTTGTTGAGCAGCTAGGTGTTTGCCATTTTAAAATTTCTTGTTTTGTTTAAAGGGAAACCAGTGAGTTGAAAATGAGACTAAACATCGCCATCTTCTTTGGGGCTCTCTTTGGTGCTTTAGGGGTTTTACTCTTTTTGGTGGCATTTGGATCGGACTATTGGCTTCTTGTGACCGAAGTGGGGAAGTGTTCAGGTGAACAGAATGTGCGTTTCTTTTTCTAACTATTTGTGTATTTGGTGAGGATAGCCTTTTGCTTTCTCTTGAAATCGGAGAACAGTAGGGAAGTGTCTATTTCTTCATAGAAGAGATGTGTAGAAAAGAAAGCTACTGACCATCATTATTGAAATGAAATTTATTGCTTACAAAGTTTCCTGGACGTGAGAATTCAGATTGTGTTCCTTGTGCCCCGTTTGTGTTCTGTGCAGATGGAGAACGTGACTTTCCACCACGAGGGGTTCTTCTGGAGATGCTGGTTCAGTGGGGTTGCGGAAGAAAACCAGCCCGACCTCTGGAAGTTCTGGTACGGTAAGTGCGCTTTTGTTTTACCTTCTCCTCTGTCTTTAAAATGAAAACGAGCAGCTTCTTATTTAGTACATGTCATTAACAAAATAGGATTGGATTCTTAGTTGTAGAATTTCAGTAGGTATCTTCAAAAGGTTCAGTAGGTAGAAATGGCTATAGCAATCATTATTTTATGCCAACATATAAATAGTTTAGATCTTTATCTGCTGTTTCCTTGTTCATATTTAAAATACACCAACTCTAACTAAGAGGTATCACTTATAGTATTTTTGAGTGTCCTTTGTTATATTGCAAATAAAAGTCTTTTAAAAAATATCTAGAAATAGAAATGTATTGTTTTAAAAGTTAAAAAAACCTCTTTTTAAATAATGAAACTTAATTACCACCTCTGGCAGATGAAAGTAGCTCGGTTTGGGCTTCAACCAGGTTTGTGGGCAATAGCAAGAAATGCCTTGTTTTTGATGTTCGAATTCTCTCATAAAAACGTTAAGGGTTTTTTTGAAGTTGAGCAGCTTCTTAAAAATGTGATGCATTCTTTCAACTTTATTCTTTATATTGTATTAATCTTCAAAAATAAATTTACTGAAAACAGTTAGCCTTTATCTTATTGCATCAAACAAAGAAAAGAACCGTCTATTACCGTAAAGCTTATTGTAGGTTGAAATTATTAGTCTCCTTATGAAATATTACTGTGACAAACCCAAGTATGATATTTACACAACAGTCAAGATGATGGAATAGATAATAAAAGTATGTGGAAGACTTAAGCAAGCTGATAGCAAGCCAGCATATGCAAAAGGACCAGCAGGTGTAAATGGCATTTTGAGAGAAAGATTTGATAGACTATCTTATAGTCATGTTAGGGAGGAAAATAAGCATGCAGTGTGTCAAAAATTATTTAGACTGCGGTCAAATGGAATGCAGAAGACTGTGCAAGAAGAAGATTTTGCCAAGGACTTAGAGAAAGGAAGAATATTCCACCCCTCCCCCCTTAAAATGTACACAATGAAGTCTTCAAGTTTTCAAGCATAAAAGTTCTTTCTTGTGGTTTCTTCAAATGCTAGAAATGTATTTGAATTATTAAGTCACGTGATCTATTATTTCCATCTTTTCCCTAGAAACAAGCTATAGAATAAATTTTATATTGATTGGAACTGATCAAGGTTAAATCTAAGCTTTTTAGACTTTCATAGCAATTATTTTTTAAAAATAACTATGTGCTAGGCATTATGTTAGGAACTGAAGAATATGGCCCTGAAAATAAGCGAGCGGTAGTGCCTTTGATTTTAAGGTGATACAAGAAAGGCCTTGTCTGCATTGAATTATGTCATGGGTCGGATGTTTGGGGTGCGTCCAGGTTCCAGGTTCCTTGTGCTCCTTTATATGAGATTTTTAGGAAGTCTCCCCGTTCACTCAGCAGTTCTCTGAATTTGTTGATCTCCCTACAGTTTTATTTAGGTGATATCACCCAGACTCCCCATGTATCTTCTTTAGGAACGGTGCTCACTCAGGTGCTCAATACCATACTATTGTTCTGCTCTCCTTCCTAGGCAATCAGCCGGCATCCAAGACCTGCACACATGCTTACCTGTCGCCGTACCCTTTCATGAGAGGCGAGCACAATGCTACCGCCTATGACTCTGCCGTCGGTAAGTACCTCTGTCCACAGAGTGCCTTTGTGAAGACACGCTGCCTGGCGGATGCCACCGCAGCATTGTTGTGGTCTGTCACCCATAATTTAACACCTTTACATACAGAAGAATAGGATAGCATTTCTAACACTGTTCATAACTCTAATAGAATATAACGTTGGTCTAAAAGTTAAGCTACTATAATTGACTTGCCACTTATAAAGATAACTCTAAAACTATGTTTTCTGGTATGGAAACAGTAATGTTTGTTAGGAAGAACGGTTTTGTAAGGCTTTGACTGAACTACTAGCTCTACAACAGAAAAAAACTGTAGTGTGCATCCTGCTTTTAGAGCAT